CCTTTCTATTGGATATGAAATTTGTTAAAATATTAGTGATATGCCCTTTCTATTGGATATGAAATTTGTTAAAATATTAGTGACTGTTTGAAGCCTGTTGAGAGATAGCCTCTTGAATTCATTTTGTAAATCAATGACGGATGTTGCATCTCTCCGTCCGTGAGAAAATGTTTGATCATTGTTTTCAGCCACAATATAAAGTCCTTCAATGCGTGTTACTCTTGATAATGCCACRTATACCAATTGTTGCGAATGCGTTCTTTCATATTCATAAACAACTTCATCGAATGTTGCTCCTTGTGACTTGTGAATGGTTATAGCACATGCAAACACCACCGGAAAATGATTACGTTTAGCAGTAATAGTTTTGTTATTATTAAGTGGTATAGTGCATAATTTTCTGGTTATGGGTACAGCAGTCCTAGGGATATTATGATCCGCAATAAACCCTGAAACTTTGCTTCGAATTTTTCTTCCAATTTTGTATGGATTTTAAAAAATGAGCCAACCTGTGAGGATTTCACCATTTTTATCATAATCGATAAAGCAAAGTTTTCCTACCGCACCATTAGCCAATCCATCCATATATATCCAATAGGAATATTATTTCATAAGGTAATCCACCCGTATCAATTGTCGACATTTTATGTAGCTTTTGCTTTATGAAAGCTTCTTGCTCGGTACCACGATAGCCTGTATAAACGTCGATTGCTACAAAAGTTACTTTATTTTCTTCTACGTTTAATATGGAGTTGTTGTACATTTGAACAGCTGAATTTGATAAAAATAGTCGTATCCCATGAGGGCAGACAATATCAGCTGTTTTTCTGCTAACGAATATCGATTCAATTAATGCCCTTTCGTCCGAACTCAATTTTGGTCCATTCCCAACTTTTGTAAGTGCATTGGAAAACGTACCATTTGCTTGTCTCATTACTTCAGTGAGTTCATAAAATTTCAAATCACGCCAAACTGTCGGCCCAGTCARTCTACGTTTTATTTGTTATATATATATATCGGTGTTGCTCTGACTGGAGGTAATTGTCTCAAATCACCTATTAATATAACATCTAAATTTCCAAAATTACTTGCATAATTACCGGTGACTTGTTTGAGACGTAAATCGATTTGCTCTAGAAGTTCTGCACCAATCATGCTTACTTCATCGAATATTATTACTCTGACATATTTAAACAATGATCTATGTTGCTGTGCGACCTCTAGACTCAATGGCATCAACTTTGACAATGATATTTTCAAAGCAGTATGTACAGTTGTTCCATCAATTGCTACAGCGGCTTTTCYTGTTGATGCACAAGTGATATAAGCAGTACAGTAGCCATTACTATCAGTAAACCGATTATAATACTGATACGGATTTAATAACGTTAATAAATAATAATTAAAAAAAAATTTCGCCAATAAGTATTTCAAATCAAATGTAATTATTGGCACAGCGCACAATTCGTTTACGTCTCGAGAGTAAATGCGACTGATGCGTCATGCTCTGTCATGTAACGTTCATTCGAATTGCCAAATTCTACCATACCGAGCGACTATAGCAGTGACGCGTTTAATACGTCTTTCTCGCTCTGCCTTCTGCTTCTCCCTCTCTCTCTCCCCTTCCCTTGGTGGCCACGAGCCTCTATTCTCCGATGGAGCGTTACATAGCAGCGTTACGGCTCAGTCTCATTCAATACCCATATTTAACTATTCTCTCAGTAGACTGCAGCCGACTTAACACGAAGGAGCGTTACATAGTCGAGCTTGACGGCTCAGTCTCTTTCAGTATTCACAAAATCAGTGCACAACGYGACTAAAAAGTTTTCACTTCAAAAATTTGGTTCATATAAATAATTTCTTTTTAATAAGGTATTCCATTTATTGCTTTCTAGTTTTTGTTCATCATTACTTTAGAATAAAAAAAATATATAATCAAAAAAAAACTATTCACATTTTCATAAACTTGTGTATTACGATTGGCATTTTTCATCAGAAGTGCACTTCGGGTAGAAAATCGTTCGGCTGCCTGCTGCGATTGCAGCTCCTCGAMGTCGTACTTGCCTGGAGATMTTAGCTGCAACATCTAAAACACTTGATACATGTTTTTCTTGGTGAATTTTCATATACTCATATACTGAATCTAATACTACAGATAACTATTATTTATGTGTCATCCCGGGGCTTAAATTTATCGACCGTTGTGTCAAATACAAACGCATCTTTGAGTCACCCTGGAGCGTGAGCGCAAATCAGCGATATGTTGAAGAACTTTGTCGCAATTAGAAAACTTTCCTCACTTGTGAGAACTTCTATACATGACTCCAACTTTGATAACTCATATAGTATAACTGACACATTCAGTAACAAATTTTTACATCTAACAGATTGTAAACAGATTCGGTAACCAAGGCCGTGTTCAATACAGCCGCCCTGTTACTAACTTTATATCATGTTGCTGATGTTCAGCTGATCTCTGCTAATTATTTCAAACAGAACGTGTTATGGGAACAATTTCTTTGGCGCCGCGATGTGAAGGTACCGTTGGAAAGAGGAAGTCCTTCTGATTAAAAATATATCGGGTTATAGCTACCGCAAACGCTTAGTTTAGGAGATATTCGACCATAAAAGATCAAAAATTCTCTAAATTCGTACATTTCAAGAAGCTATTTCATCACATTAAATACGCTTTATTCACATTTTTCACTTCAAATTTATTAAATTGCACTATAAACTTGTAAATAAATCCATATTTTACACTTTTATCATGTGTTTTACCTAAAAAATCTTTATTTTTTTATTTTAAAAATTACATTTTACACTCGTTTGAACCTCATTTGTTTACCAAAAATTACGACGAAATGGAGCGCTGCCATGTGATGATCACACAATTCGCTGAAATTCCTCTATTCATGCATATGGATATTTTCTTTTTTAATTTTATTAAGCAAATAAGTAATATTATATATATGT